TTGTAACTTTAATACTCTAGTTTAATGTTGGCTTGTTAATAGACTGCCATGTAAGCTGCATGAGAGATGCAATGGAAGGGAAAAGCACAAAGCCAAAATAAAAGCATAAGTCTCCTCTTACACTAAATACGTGGTGCAGTGTTTTTTGGGTTTTTTTGGACTATTACTCCTGCTTCTGTTCTAATTGTACAATGAGAAAGCATTAAAAGCATCATACTTGGTTAGTTGTGACCTGGCTCTTGCTGGTAAACCTCACACCCCTGCTGAAAGTCTTATAAAACCATTATTAGTGAAGGTAGTAAAGAGGGGCCGACCAAGGGCAAGATGGGTGGATGGCATCCTTGAAGTGACTGGACTGACCTTGAAGGAGCTGAGGGTGGTGACGGCCGACAGGGAGCTCTGGCGTGGACTGGTCCATGAGGTCACGAAGAGTCAGAGACGACTGAACGAATGAACAACAACAACAATCAAAATTATCAACTTTATTATTATTATTACACAAGTCATTGTTACTATGCACAGAAGTATGATGGTTGTCCCAAGGTAAAGTGTTGTCCTGTTTATTTGAACTTTGAAGATTTCTTCACTTTGAATGACAAAAACAGTTTGCTTGAAGATTATTTGAATAATCAGGAATTGTTGTACAAATTGTTGCACAACTTGGCAGACATTTTTTCAAAAATGACCAAATCCAGCACATCCGTACAAGGGAAACAGAAGACAATATTAGATGCTAATGAGAATATTGTCGTGCTGAAGATAAAGATAGCATTCTACATGGAAAACACTGAAAATAAGGATCTGACATGTTTCTCATTGACTTCAAACATTTTAAAAGAAAATAACATGACAATAAAGTGCACACAAGCAGATTTTCTTTCATCGTCTCTCCTCTCCTTCACACACATACACTACAAGCTACTGTTGAATGTGGAAAACAGAAAACTTTGCCCCAGTTGCTAAAAAATGCAAACACTTGAAGGCAAGTTTCTCATGTTTCACCATAGAGTTTGGAACAATGAATAAGACTTATAGTCTGATCATGTTTACTCAAAAGAAGTCTCATGTATCTAAGTGCAATCAGTTTGGGAAAGGACTACCACACCTAGAATTCCCCAGTCAGCATAACCAATGATCAAAACAGCTATAGGGAGAAGGTGGAATATAAATAAAGTGAACAACAATCTAATAGGAGTGGCCAGCATATGGAAAATGTGTGCCCTCCGATGGGACATGTTCACATTTGCAAAATAAGAATGAAGAATTACTTGCATCTCTTCAAGAAAATTAATTCACTCTTCAAGAACATTAATTCAGCTAAGTTAAAGGTAAAGGTTTCCCCTAACATTAAGTCTAGTCACGTCCAGGACCCCGAGATTCTGTTTGTTCCTGAAATTACTTACACATTATAGTGTGTAAGATATCTGCTCAGAAATGACACTCACAATCAACAACAATTTCAGATTCTGGGGGTTGGTGCTTATCTCCGTTATGAAGCTGAAAAGTGGGTATTGTCTGTAGACACCTCCAAGATCATGTGGCCAGCATGAATGCACTGAGTGCTGTTACCTTCCTGCAGAAGCAGTATCTATTGATCTACTCACATTTGCATGTTTTCAAACTGCTACGTTGGCAGAAGGTGGGCCTAACAGCAGGAACTCACCCTGCTCCCAGATTCGAACTGCTAACATTTTGGTCAGCAAGTTTAGCAGCTCACCTGTTTAAACAACTGCACCACCAAATGAACCAAACCTAGGGTTATGTACAGGCTGGTCCCTCTTCTCCTCTTGCACTGCTGAATTAATTAAGTACAAATAATTTTGTACTTTGAACTCAGTTTGTAAAAGCCAAAGTAAGTTAAGGACAAAGGGAAAAACAAGAGGGATGGAGAGAAACCATAACACTTTAAAGGCAGTTAAAATGAAATTATAGAGGACTAATCAAAACTATTTCTGTCAAACTGGGACAGTGTTGGAGTGTATGCTATATATTTTACATACATAAAGGACAACATTGGACTGCTGTGTGCCCACACATTGAAATTAAATGAAGACAAGAAACCTTTGTGAGACAGGAAAATATATTGCAAACAGAGATTCCATGTACACAGGCCTGAAAATCCTGTAGAAATTGGGATGAAAGGGTGCACCCACAAAACGTGCACCCACAATGCACGCCTGATCTCAGGACAGCATGAAAAACATGTGATAAGAAGTTTTGCATAAAATCTGATATTGGGAAAAATGTGCTCCTATGGAGCACTGTATATCCCAGCATTCCCCAAAAAAGAAGAGTTTCTTATAGTACACTGGTGTAGTCTGCTCCAGTGCTTATCTTCACTTTAAAATCCCAAAACAGCTGATGGAGGGATGTAAACAGATAGAGCCACTTAGACGCAGGTGCCTAAATGGAAACACAAAAAGGAAAGCAATTCCCATGACAACTGTGTGCAACCATTCCTTTGTTCTCATTTCCTGTGCAGCAGCATGTCACATGCAAGTGACCAAAGCAAAACAGGGTTCTAGAGGGTAATCTAGAGGCACCAGCAGTGAGGGAGAGGGGAGATGATGACAGAAAATCTGGCTGTGTGCATTTCATTATATCCACATCAGTGCTGCAATTTTGGCAAACTACTTATACGGTGCAGCACATCTCGGAGAGTCATTAGGAAACAAAATTAAAAGAAAACTTCTGGTGGATGTACCACTGTATATTTTGCAGTTACCTTCATTCCACATTAACCAAATCTTTCTGGACACCATGGGACCATTTCCCAGGACTAATAGTGTCATTTGTTAATTTCAGATCTGGGATTTTTAATCCCACTTCCTTATTCCATATTAAACAGTTGTCTGGAAGGACCTCGAGATTCTGTTTGTTTCTGAAATTCCTTACACATTATGTCAGATATCTGCTCAGAAATGACACTCACAATCAACAATCAACAAGTGTGCAATACTGAGGGTGTTTTGTTTTCTAACACTAGATGGAGCCACATCTTCCCTTGTTGAATAGTTGGAGATAATGATTTCATACAAGACTTATCACACAAATGCTTTCCATTCCTACTACATTCCCAAACTAGTTTGTTTTCCTTCTGCTTTTCCTTCTAGTTTCCTTACACAACTAGAACCATGTGTAATATCACTTGCAGTCAGTATCTGCCATGCAAGATTTCTCAATGCCCTTCTACTGTGCAAGAGGCTTTCTCATTTTCTCAGTGATACAATGAGAAAATATCTGTTGAAATAAAAGAAACAAAGATAAATTTATTGTCGAAGGCTTTCATGGCTGGAATCACTGGGTTGTTGTAGGTTTTTTCAGGCTATATGGCCATGTTCTAGATGCATAGATGCAGGCGAAACATCAGGAGAGAATGCCTCTAGAACATGACCATATTGCCCGAAAAAACCTACAACAACCCAAACACAAATTTGTTCAAATGGTTTTGGCTCCATATGAACATAATGATGGTGGACTTTCTTTACATTGTAAGGATATTACTATATTTTACCTATTCATACACTCCGTATTTTTAGCTTAATTACAACTACATTAGAACTCCAATCTTCTCTACAGAAAATTGTTTAAAAGCTTTGGAAGAAGAGGACCTTACACTGAATAATACTTCTAACTATACATTTTAAACAGTGCTTTCTCTTCTGCTCTTGCTTTCCTCCTTTTTTTAAAAAATGCAAACAACTCAGGATAAATATCTTTTTTTATAATTGGCAAAGAATTACTGACATATTAAATATTTTTTTAAAAAAATATAGGGAAGGATAATAACAGCACCCAATATGCCCATATATAGGTATTGAGGTCAAAGTTATGGATTTTGATATTACCTATGAATAGGTCAAGGGTCATTGCATAAAAAGTTGAAAGTACCAATGTTGTTTCAGAGGTTCAGCCACCCCTAGCTGCCACCACAATTTCTGCTTCCAGATAATTAAAAATACTAGACATAGAATCATAGAATCAAAGAGTTGGAAGAGACCTCATGGGCCATCCAGTCCAACCCCCTGCCAAGAAGCAGGAATATTGCATTCAAATCACCCAAATATATCTTCTATTCCAGTTTCTATTAAAAAAAACAAAAACAAAACACTGGCCTTTCCATCTTGTAATTTAGACAATAGACTATTTCTGCTCCAAAAGAAAATGTGTTTGTAGCTTAACAGTCACACACCCCTTTTCTGTTGCTCTTGGCATTGATCAATTTGCCAAGGAATGTGGTTTGGGGCACCTCCAAGTTCCAAGTCTCTTTGTGCACTAAATATTTTCAACACTTTTCTTGCTCTTTTTAAAACCAAAGCAATAATTGTTCCAACTGAAGAATACTGACGAACAGCTCCATCTGCTGAAAATTAATGAAGTTACAATGTAATTCAGTTTTCAACTGATTGGTTGTCTGAAGTCCCCCGGTGGCGCAGTGGGTTAAACCCTCTGTCAGCTCTAGCTCCTCATTCAGGGACATGAGAGAAGCCTCCCACAAGGATGATAAAACATCAAATCATCCGGGCATCCCCTGGGCAATGTCCTTGCAGACAGCTAATTCTCTCACACCAAAAGCAACTTGCGGTTTTTCAAGTTGCTCCTGACACGACAAAAAAAATCTTTCGTATCCTTGGAATGTAGCCAGTCTGTTAACAAGCTGTTGTGCTATCTAGGAATGACATCTAGCAACTCAATAACTAGACGTTTCTAGACATCACTAGTGAACTACACTAATGATGATTAGAGGGTGGGTTCCATGACCTATCATAAAACAACCAGGAAGTCATATGTCAGTGAATATGATTTTTCTGCGATATATGCTTTGCTTAGCTCTGCTTTGCTGGTGGAAAGGGTATTTCCTAAAACTTGTCCCACCAGTCAAGCTCCTAGTTATATAATGTTTGAGAGGACCTACATAAATACAGGTTGTACTGTTCAAGTACAACAGTTCAATTCCCATTCCCAATCTGCTTCAGGTTATTATCGCAGCAGACAAAAATATGGCCAAGGACAGGAAACATATTATTGAATTCCTTGATATGATGTTGATTAATGGTTCAAAGCTATCCGCAGAAGAGAAACTCTGTTCTTACAAGGGAGTTTTGTATCCTGTTACTATTTGCCGCCCTGAAACTTTACAAGCTCTTGAAACTTTTGAGGCCAGGGAAGATGATGTGATCATGACAGGATATCCTAAATGTGGTGAGTATCCCTGTTGACCATCCTAACCAAAAATGTTGTATGAAATCTGTGTAAAGCCATGATTTTTTCCTGGTGCATTCCTTTCTCTCTTGCTTGACTTGCTGCTTCCTTGAGTACAAAATGATTCTCTCAAAACCGCTGATCTTGCTATTTCTCAGCCTTCCTCTGTCACAGTTGTTGTCTTAAGTATATATCATAGGCAGAGGAGACCATCCCTTATCCATCAGTTGTGATAGGAATTGTTGACTCCTGGACTACGACTCTGGAGACCACAGGTGGTGTTACACTGTAAAATTTTAGGTCTTTAGCATTCTCTTTCAAAGAATGCTGGTGCTTCAGTAAATTGCAACTCCAGGATGCCAAAGCATTGAGACATGACAGTTAATTCTACAGTATAGTTCAACTCCCAGAAGCCCTGGCCAGCTGGTCTAAAAGCCAGGAATTCTGGGGGGCTGAAGTCGAAAACACCTGGACGGTCACAGGTTGTATTTTCATCCATGTTACATGTTTCAGGATCACAGCTGGAGTCCATTCTTTACCTCCTGCTTCTTAATTCTCATTTTTCCTCTTTGTCCACCTGCCTTTTTTTTACTGGGCTTAACTAGCTTCCTTTTTCATATTCCCTCTCTTCCTCTTCCTCTTCCTTGACCAAGTCAGTCTTTCTCAAGTTGAAGTTTGTTTGTTTAGACAGAATGTTGACATTTTTGCTATCTTTTCTGTGCTTCTCTTGTACTTTAGAGGTTGGGGCTATCCAGTTCAGTTTGATGTTTATTTGTTCAAGTTTGTTCTCAGTAGTCATAAGCATTGCATTTATAAATTCCATTTGTTTTAGGATTTCCAAACATTTGATCTTAGACTCACACTTCATTTCTGAGATTGTAATCTAAGTTCAACACTGAGTTTATTATAGAAGCACATGTGACAACTGGATGTTTTTTTACATGCAAATGAGAGTAGATAAATAGGTACCGCTTCTTGGGGGGGGGGGGAATCAAAGAGACACTCCAAGCAATTTTGCCTGCCACACAACCAGGAAGTGTCAACGCAGGCTCCTCAGCTTGAAAATAGGGAAGGGCATCTCCCCAGGGCCAGATATGGGCGTCACTTCCAGAAGCCAGAAATGCAAGGAGAGACCTCAGCCGTTGTTTGTGTGTCTCATTGTAAACTATTGTAAAGGCATTGAATGTTTGCCTATGTATGTAAATATGGCAATCCAGACAGAGTCCCCTAGGGGGAAGGAGGAATATAAAATGCATTGTTGTTGTTGTTGTTGCTTTCACTACTTTTCAGATGTCTCACTTGTACACTTATACATTTCAATTATTCTTCTGTAAAATGGAATGATATTGGCAATATTCATCCATCAGATAGAGCTGTCATCAAAGGAACAGCAACAGATTGAAAAGAAAAGGCAAGCCAAAACCAGTTCCAAAATCCAAGAGGATATTGTTATTTTTCTTGTCCAAGGTCACCCAGCTCAGCTGGACAGAGTTTGTAACATGAGATTAGAATAGACCCAACCAGATAAACAATCAAAGTAGTCCACTTTAGTAATATTCCAAAGGGAAAGAGAAAATCAATTATTCTTTAAACAGTCCTAGATTTTGAGTCAAAAGCTTGCAAGGTATTTTGCATTTCTCTTGGCTTTATTTATGGAAACCAGAGTAATTTCCTTTTGCAGGAAAACACATAATTTATGCAGATGACCACAGTACAAAAGCAGCTATCATCAGTCTGCCATATAATGCAGTTTATATTATATGGTCAGCATAGACTGTTTGTTCACTGCCATAGAATGCTGTTTGAGAATGCAGATTAACTGCATTGAACTAGAATGTACAGCAGCGCAGACTCACTCATACAATTCAATACCATTAAACTGCATTCTGAAATTGCATTATTTGGCAGTGTACATCCAGCCTGAATTTACACTGACCATATAATGCTCATTTCTTGCATCAGTGGGGATGTAGGTGACCATTGATTGAAGCCTCTTTTAATTCTATAATTTGCTAAGCACAGCATCAACACAGCTGCCAATAAAATTGCCTGTATATCATTTCCAGAGCAGCTAGAAAGAACAACGTTGCCACATGTGCCAGCCTAAAGTATTTATTTATTTACTTATTTATTTACAACATTTCTACCCTGCCTTTCTCCACTCCAGAAGCGACTCAAGGTGGCTTACACTTAAGCAAATATTTGATGTCTTCCAAAACAATGTATAATTAAAATAAAGATTTAAATAGAATTATAAAATGCATTGAAACATTTCATTGTTTGGGCCATTTCAATAGTCACTGAAATTACAGACATCTCTCATATTTTTCAGGTACCCACTGGCTTGAATACATCCTAAATGACATGTCTGTCATGGCTGCAAAATATACAGAAGAGGAAAAGAAAAAGAGGATCGAACTTGAGAGGGAACTGGAAATTACTTCACGTTTAGAATTTGGTGATCCAGGCAAATTCAAGGTTCAAATGACCCACAGATTTGTGTTATTCATTAATCTGCAGAGCAAAGATCCAAGCAGAGAGATAACACCATGTGCTCATAATTTAGTAGATAGACAGATAGAAAGATACATGAGTTAGGATAAAGAAATTGAGAGATAGAGACAGAGGGAAACAACCTGAATTCAGTAGAAACATTTTACCATAAAGGAATTGAAATATTTTTTACAGAAAAACAGCAACATTAAGTGCTATTTTACTTATCCAGTTACAGCGTCCTGTTACTTATCCAGTTACAGCATCCATGAGTTAATTTCTATCTGGACCATTTCAAATGTATATAGAATAGACTTTAAATGTTACCCTGTTCTAAACATGCTGCTTAGGTCAATGAAGACTCTGGGATTTTGAAGGGACAGGGAACTTGGGAAAAGAAACATGAAGTTTCAAGTTAAAGTCAATATGCCTGGACAGCATTGTTGGACAAAGATAATTATTAAATTGCAGAAGGTGTGTAGTTTAGCTCTTTTTGTTTCTTTGGCTTTGCTATTCAGTCCCAGCTGTAAACATGGTTAAAACACAGCAAAAGGCAAATCAGATCAAACCAAAAGACAATAGCAATTATGTCATTCATTTTTAACAAATGACTTATTTTGTAAACTCAATGAACAGAGATATTTCTGAGTTCTCTTCAAGAAAATTTGTAATTTCATCAGGGTGAAATTACAGTCAATCCTCCACATGTGTGAGTTTAAGTTTTGCGGATTTTACTATTTGTGGATTTGATTAATATATTTCCTCTAGGAATCACTAGATTCTCCAGGGTGATTCTATAGTCGGTTTTCATGCAGCAAAGCCTAGCGATTACTAGGGAATATTTATCTAGGAATCTCTAGCTGATTTTATAGCCAACATTTGATGGAATTTCACCATAGGAGGACCTAGAAATTCAGAGAGAGGCATTCACTCTGGTAAAAATAATAGTGGTTTTTTATTCACTTTGCTTCTGTGCTCCTAACTGACAGAAAAGTGGAGGGCCGACTGCATATCAAATTCTGCCATGCAATTGGACAATTGTTAGTCATTTTTCTGTTTCTTGGTCAAACACTTGGTTGACCCTTCTGTAAATGGCACTATCATGAGCAGACATCATATCACCCATGACAATGCCACTTGACAAGGGAATTTTTGAATAGCTTCCCTTGTTACACCTGAATGTATCAAGTTGTTATTGTTTCTTAAAAGAGAATACCAGGCTACCATTTTCCTGGTTAGTTGACAACCAAAGAAGCAGGACATCCACTGGTTTGGTCATCTTATTACACAGCCCCTTAACAAACAAAACAGTTAAAATTGATTATTCTATCCATAGTCCAATAGATAATTGCACTGAACATAGGATGGTTGTCTAATTTTCTGCACAAAGGTGGTATATTTGTATGTGTGTGCGCGTGTGCATGGTGTCCTTTAGCAAATGAACAAGTTAGTAATTCAATTAATGTATAAAGAAGTTTCACCTTTCTGCAGATCATCTGCTAAAAATGCTTTAGTTTCATTTTAACATTTAAAATAATGGCAATCAAAAGATAGACATAGTCCCTATTTCTTATCTTTTAAAAGAGAATGGAAAATCTACCTTCAAGAAGGATTATAATTACTCACCTTACTCCCAATATACTGCCGAAGTCTGCTTTCAAAAATAAAGCCAAGGTGAGTGTATTTGCTTTATTTTTTTTGTATGTTATGGACGCAACTTTAATTTAAAATACTGGTCTGTATAACTATGCCTCAGATAGGCACACACCAACATCACCCTTGGGAGTCATCATATGAGTTGATTCTTCAGCATGACATCTGAATGCCAAAACAAACATTGCTTTCACGTTTGATAGGTATAGATTGCACCACTCAGGATGGCTCTGTTGGAGTTGGCAAAATGAGTTGTGAAGGAACTGTTCTTAGTTGTATTTTCAAGAAAATATCTCTCCCACCCTTCCTTTGGGTGCACCATCATCATGTTGATTGCCTTCTGTATACCTGCCGTGCCTACCTATATTTTTATTCACTTTTATCAAATCTGCTTAGCAGATCATTTGGAAACTATTTTTACTCTCTATAGTCAAGCGGGAAGGAGGCTTTTTGCAAACCTGGTATAATGTGTTTGTTCTTCCTAGCTATTATTGCAATATATTGTTGTGACATCATCCTGTGCAACTATCCTCACATATTGCCTAATCTAGAAGGCAAGAAAGAGGGATCTTATATGTTTAGCAGAGAATCGTATAACTGCCTTAAAATATGACTTGAAAAGTATATTCAGTTATTGAGAGTATACTATTACTTCTTTGCAATACCATTAAATGTTCCTTAATGAGAGTATATTTACTCAGGCTGTGCTGATTAATCAACTGCATTGTCAAGAACTTCGAAATTTTGCAAAAAGACTTATATTGAAAAATAAACAATCACCATCTATTAGAAGATTTGGCAGTTGTACATATTAATGTATATATTTTGTATATATTAATGTATTTTCATATTAATGTATATATTACAGGTTGAGTAACCCTTATCTGAAATGCTTGGCAACAGAAGTGTTTTAGATTTTGGATTTTTTATTTGATTTTGGAATACTCTTATTTGCAAGCACAAGCAGTTTACAAGTTACAGACGTCTGATTTATATTCAATTCATACTTAAGGACAGGGGGTGAGTCAACAAGAACAGAAGTGAGAGAAATCTATTCCTCAAAAGGGAAATTCACTCCAGAAAGAGTTACCATGAAGTGTCTCCACTAAAGCTTTATCACTAATCCTTGTTTTCACAACAAGCTAATTTTTTTTCCAAAAACGAATTATCATAGGGACAGAAAGTGATGTGAAATCTTCTGAACTGAGGAGAACACAGTATATCAAATCTCACAGGGTTGTTAACCCTTCCCTATGCCACACACACACATACTCTCAAATACATATATTTGGCTGGTTATCCTATCTTGTCTGTATGTCAGGGACTGCCTGTACCACAAGAATATCTGGAAGTCCTATACCCCTTCCCCAAAGCCCCCAAATTCAATTTAAAAGTAAAGAAAACTTACCCAGCCTCCAGTACAGTGTTGCAGCAGCTCTCACAGCACATAGAAATGAGGCACCAAGAGAGCAGGGAGGAGAGGAGAGGAAAATAGCTCTCTCTCCCCCCCCCCCTCCTGGTGTGTCATTTCTACATGCCTGGAGAGCTACTGCCACACTGTACTGGAGGCCAGGTAAGTTTTTTGTTATTTTTAGAAAGGGTTTGGGGGCTTTGGGGGAGGGGGGTGGGTATTCCTACAGTTTTCCAGATGAAATTATAGTTGCTTTATCCTACACCTTCCAAGGTGGAATAAACTCACTATCTAATTACTTCGCCACAAACCAGGGTTTTCCTGGTTTGTGGTGAATTAATTCGGGATTGTCCAGAATGTTGTCTGGACACCCCCCCCCCCTTTTATTGCAGAAGTTTCCACAATAAAGGGACTGTCTAGATCTGCCCTCTGTTGAGTTGAACTCTGAATGTACAATATTATTGTATGATTTCTTTGCCTTTTTTTTAGATACTGGTACTGATTCGAAATCCAAAGGACACATTGGCGTCTTTTTTTCATTTTAACAACAAGGTGCCAACCTTCCCTACAAAAACATGGGATGAGTTTTTCACAGATTTTATGAGTGGAAAAGGTACTTATATATATATATATTTATATAAGTGTTATTCAGTCGGCTCTATCTTTTCACAGAAACTTAAGCCAGCTACTTCACTTCACAAATACTAGTGACTTTTTACTGTTGTGAAGTTTAAGGTGATATCAAGACATTAATACGTTTTACCTGGGGTTTCCTTGATGATGCTCTACAGCGGGTACAATGGGATCTACCTGCTGCTCATCCATTGTACTTCTTGTATGTCCATGCAATATGACTCGCAAAGGAGTTTGGTAGGTGAATGGGCTTGCAGCAATGAGAGAAGAGAGGACAAAAAAGGACAACCATCCTGCATCCTGGGCCACCTTAACCTTGGGAGCATGGCATAGCTGTTGAGATATCCTGGTGCAGGATTCAATCTTTCCCTTTGCGTTCTTCTAACTCACAGTGCAGCTGTGTTAAACTTCTTTCCCTGGGTTAAACCAGATCAGTCTGGGTGCATTTTGTAGCTACTCGCAGGCTGAACCACGCTTACACCAAACTAAATTGTATACCGCCTTGAGTCTCCTATGGGCTGAGAAAGGCAGTATACAAATACAGTGTGTGTGTGTGTGTGTGTGTGTGTGTGTGTGTGTATATATATATGCCAAGTTTTAGAACAGGGTTCCCCAAATAAACGTGGCACTCCAAAGGCATTTACCTGGCCCCACCCTAAATTTTAGACTTTGGTTGCCTAAAGTCTGAAAAGACTTGAAGGCCCACAACAACAATCCTAATTAACTTGACTATGTCATTAGCTAAAAGAAGGCCCACACTTCCCATTGAAATTGTTCTTCATTTAAAATTATTTCAATTTTTTTGCACTACAAATAAGATATGTACAGTGTGCATAGAAATGTGTTCATGTTTTTTCCAACTATATTCTGGGCGCCCAACAGTCTGAGGAAATGCAAACTGGCCCTCTGTTTAAAAAGTTTGAGGACCCCTGTTTTAGAGTGATAGTATCATACAACTTGCTAGTTTTTTTTCTTTTTCTTCAGTGAGCTGGGGATCCTACTTTGACTTTGTTAAAGAATGGGACAAGTACATTGATGATGAAAATGTCACATCTGTAACTTATGAAGAGCTAAAGGAGGTAAGGTTAGCACTGGCTCCAAGATATGGATGTCTAAAAAGTTTTCTTTTAAAAAGTAATGCAGTTCACTGTTGCTTAAATGTGTAACTTGCAATGGGGTCAAAATGTGTGTGTGTGTGTGTGTGTGTGTGTGTGTGAGAGAGAGAGAGAGAGAGAGAGAGAGAGAGAGAGAGACATGATCAAGACTAGGAAATTATAAGAATGTTTCATTTGTACTTACTGATGTTCTCTTAGAGACCCTGAAGCTCCCAGGCTCACTTTTCTAAAAAGGAGCTTTAAAAGTTAAGAAAACACACAAAACCTCACACATAGTGCTCTTCAAGACCAAATTATGAAAACCAATTCATCTTTATTTAACAGAAGTGTATTAGGGTTGTGTAAAGTGCACCATCAATGTAATTTTTTAAATATGTAATTTGCTCTATTCACTTTTTACAAATAAAGAATCCAAACTTGGAAGTGAAAAGAATAGCTACATTTCTTGGATACTCCCTGACTGAAGATGAGATTCAAAACATTATAGAAAAAAGCAGCTTCAAAACTATGAAACAAAATGGACAAGAAATCCTTGGAACATTTGGAGATCTTCTTTTCCGCAAAGGTAAATCTTTTTAAAGTGCCTAAATGGGCACGGTGGCAAAGTTCTTCTGGGAAAGTAGAGGTCACTGTTTCAGTCCTCAATCATTTTTAATATAGGTTCAGCACCTGGAAAGTTCTTGTAAAAGTTGGGCAGCTGTGGAGGAGTTGAGGGCTGCCATTAAAACTGAAGGCTCTTATTCAATGGACAAAATGTGAAATGAACTGGCATTAAAAATGCTTGTTTGTATCACATTTGGAGGTCACACATGGGCAGGGGTAACCCTGCCTCATTAGTGCGGTCGGTGGGTGGGTGTGGGGTGCCCAAACAGCCATCCATGCCAATGTGCTTTTGGCACAGGTGGGCATAGAGAGTGCCACTTTCCCCTCCTCCCACCCCATTTCACACCATCAACCTATCAGAAGCAGTCTTCTTACTGATTCACGATGCATCCCTTATCTCCTGGTGCTCAGAAATGATGCCACAGAGCTTTGGCAAGGGAGGAGGGAATTTCCTTTCCAAAGCTCTATTAGGATCATTTCTGAGTGCCACAAAGCTGAGGCAACCCTTGTGCATCAGTAAGAAGACTATTTTTGCTCTTTTGGGCACACTATAGGTACAGAAAAGGGAGAGTGACATTACTATCTGACATTGATCCCAGGAAGCAGCCCCCGCCCCCAGTCCCCATATCTGAATAAATCTGGATCTTCCTGGAAAATCTAGATGGCAGGTATTTTTTTAACATAAAATAAATCTGGATTAACAAATGTTTCATTTATCCAACATATCATAGACCAAATTTATCTATACACATAATTAAAAGTGAAAATGTGAATGTGTGTATATGGCAAGAGTGTCCACTTACACAAACACACTCCCACCTCCACAAATGGCTATAACCCACAGTGCTGAGGAGCCACCAAAAGCTCTCCCTCCAATGACATTTCATGTTGCAGTGGGTGCCATGAACATGTAGCCCAAACCCTGCCAATGTCCTCCCCAAACATGATGGACCACCACTGAAGACCACCACTGAAGAAATGCTTTCATTTGGGGACAATATCATCCTAGATTTTACATGTTTGCCTCCACCACATGCAGGCATCCCAATTTTTCTTACTTTCTCCAATGGTGTTGCATTTGCTTGACCCCGCCCACTGCCTCTCCCTTAAGCTTTTCCTCTTCTTGTCTACTCTGTCTGCTTAACAAACTGAGCAGAACTGAGAAGCAACTAAACATACTGGAGGAGTTTGGGGTATTGGCTTTACATGATAGAAGTTGTAGTTCACCCTGCATCAAGTCAGAGCACTGTGACTCCTACCAACAATGGAGCTGGACCACATTTGGCACACAGAACCCCCATGATTAGGTTTGGGGGGAACTGATCTTGATTTATAGGACTTGTAGTTCATCTATAGCCAGAGAGTGCTGTGAACCCAGCCGATGATGGATCTGGACCAAACTTAAGTAATATTATCTAATATCCCACAACAAAAAATATCTTGTGTTGTCGAAGGCTTTCATGGCTGGAATCACTGGGTTGCTGTGGGTTCTCCAGACTGTATGGCCATACAGCCCAGAAAACTCACAGCAACCCAAAAAATTCCTTCTTCTAATAACCTGGGCAATGCTGGGTCCCTGAGCTAGTATATTTATAAAATAGGACTGAAGTAATCATTAACAATTCAAGTACTGAATCTTTTAATACTGAGCAAGGAGTAAAGCAGGGTTGTCCTCTTTCTCCTGTATTTATATTAGTTATGGAATTATTAACCCCTGCAATTAGGAAAGATGAGGAGATACAAGAAGTGGGTGTTGACAACAAAATCAAAATCAACCTATTTGCAGATGATATGCTTTTGATGGTTCAGGAATCCAGATATGGCACTAGATTGGAAAAAGTTTATTTAAAACAGTTAGGAAATATAAAAGATTTAATAATTAATTGGAAGAAAATGGAGGTAATGACAGTAAACATGAAGGGAAAGGATAAAAAGAAAATAATGGATCAATTTAAGGTTAAGATTAAAAGCTAAATTAGGTACTTGAGAGTCACAGTATCTGTTAACTACTCAGAGCTAAAGAAAATTAAATTTTCAAAGACTATTCAGGGAAATTTAAGAAAGCTTACTGGAATATAAAAAAACTAAATCTTTCATGGTTTGGCAGAATTGCCCTTTTTGAAACAAGATATTTAAGGACATTGGTAATACTATAATATTAAACATTTTCCCGGATGCTAGGTTAGCATTATTAAAGGATGCCACAAAGTTGAATTTAGAAATGGAAAAGAAAGTATTCATGATTATTCTACTTACAGTGACGAGGCTTATAATTGTAAGGAATTGAAAGATAGTATCAATCTCATAGGAGCCCCCGGTGGCGCAGTGGGTTAAAGCACTGAGCTGCTGAGCTTGTTGATCAAAAGGTCGCAGGTTCGAATCCGGGGAGCGGCGTGAGCTTCCGCTGTCAGCCCTAGCTTCTGCCAACCTAGCAGTTCGAAAACATGCAAATGTGAGTAGATCAATAGGTACCGCTCCGGCGGGAAGGTAACGGCGCTCCATGCAGTCATGCCGGCCACATGACCTTGGAGGTGTCTATGGACAACGCTGGCTCTTCGGCTTAGAAATGGAGATGAGCACCACACCCCAGAGTCAGACATGACTGGACTTAATGTCAGGGGACTACCTTTACCTTTACCTATCAATCTCATGCTGGAAGTATGGTATGGGGAGGTATGAAACATAGCTTTAAATGACAAATTATCAATGGAAATGAGGGTGCTTAGAGGGGAAATTAAAAGATCAGAATTTGATTCATATTTGTCGGTTTTCATTAAATACTCCTTAGAGAGTGACAAGGAAAAACAATACAACCTCTTTGGACAGGAGTTTTGGATATTACTTTTGTTTATCTGTTTACTTATATATTTATGGTGAAGGAAAGGATATATGTTCAGGCCTAGGTAATGAGTCTAAGTGTTTGTAAAATGCACATTATTTTGTATACTGTGTTTATAATGAATGTTGTTAATGTAAGTGAAAAAAAACAAAAAAAGAGGAGGTAGGGGTATAGAGAGATTTCCTATGGCCTATATAGCCCTCAATAAAACTGTAAAGGAAGAGACCTTTGTTTTATAGTACTTTTATACATTTTACCACTTCTTATACCTGTTGTTTAAATGCTTACAGGGTTTGTTGGTGACTGGAAAATGTTGCTCTCAGAATCCCAAAATCAAGAAATGGATAGAAAATTTGAAGAGCATTTAACTGGTACTAAATTAGGAGAACGAATAAAGTATGGCATTTACTGCAAAACCTGAGGAGTCAGTCTTCAACTCCCTCACATTGGAGGCCTTTCTATCTGCAGAATTGCTTCTTGAATTGTTACATGTGGTAGCTTTTAACAATTTATTCTCAGGAACCAGATCCAACATCTTAAATTGTGAACAAATCACTTTCCTTTTTCTTTCATTAAAACTTGAAATTGATAGGTTGAGAAGGCAGTTTTGAATTGCATTGCCACCTTCACTCTCCAGTATGCCTCCTATCCCCTAAATTTAACTCCCTGAAACCCCAACCAGTTTGACCAAGATTCAGGAAGCAAAAACCTGGACACTTGGAAAATCAAATAGGTATGGTCATTTTTAGTGCTGTCTGGTTTGACAATGCTATCAGATAACCTTTTATTTCTTTTGCTGTGAGAATAATGAATAGAAACAAATACCTGCTTTTAACAGAAATTACTGAAAGATATCCTTAGATTAGTTGTCACTTCTAGTATGTTTTGATTAGATTATTGGTTTCTGATAGTTTGTTTCTTTTTGCACTGGAATAAAATAATATTTTAATGGCCAGTTGTTTCCATTTGTTTTCCATTCTTATACTAGAGATGCAAGATATTTTGAATTTCTGGTTTGAGTCACCAATTAATAACTTTTAAAAGGTCATATTATTACAATAATGTATGTTTAATTTTTCTTTGACAATAAAACCTGCTTAGATTCTTCTAAAATTAATGGGCATATTTGGTTTTTATCATCCATGTTCTGTCCAGAATTACAGCTACTGTCAGAACTTTCTACTAACCTTCAACTATAACAGAGATTGTAATGTCTGTGTATACAGGGGGGCAATGTTCATCTGTTTGGATCCTCTGAGGATTGCACAAGTCTGTTCAGCAAAAAATATATATGCAAAAATCCTCATAAGATGCTATGTTTAAATGGTACTGTTCCATTATTTGGGATGAGGCCACTGGGGGTGCTAGAGAGAGAAGGATAGTCAATTTTATGGGGATGGAGAGTGGGTTGAAGGGGGAAAACCATTTCTCCTGGTTTTCTATTATTCTCCCCACCCATTTCCCCATTGTGGAAACAACCCTCGTTTATGATATGGGAAGGGGGGGGAGGGGAAATAAATAGCAAAAATGGGAGAAATTGTTTTCCTCCTTCAATTTCCCCCTGTAAAATGGACTATCCTTCTCTCTCTAGTGCCCCCTGGTGGCCTCTGCTCAGATAATGCAACAGTGCCATTTAAATAATGTCAAACAATGTATGAAAGTGGAACTGCCTGGGGAAAAAAAAATCAGATTTCAGATGCTAAACCTGGTTAAGCCTGTTTAGTACTTAAATGAATATAATCTGATCATTGGGGAAAATTGGATTCCAGATTGACAGCTCTCTATTGGTCATTAGTCTATATGCCTACAGAATTTAGACCTGTGTGTCATGGACTCATAACTGGTGTGTTCAAGATACCAGAACACCCTCATATCATGTGTTCATAGCCAAAGTCGAGGGATTATTATTATTATGTATTGTTGAAGGCTTTCTTGGCCGGAATCACTGGGTTGTTGTAGGTTTTTTCGGGCTATATAGCCAAGTTCTAGAGGCATTCTCTCCTGACGTTTCACCTGCATCTATGGCAAGCATCCTCAGACCTCACTACCTCTGAGGATGCTTGCCATAGATGCAGGCGAAACGTCAGGAGAGAATGCCTCTAGAACATGGCTATATAGCCCGAAAAAACCTACAACAACCCTATTATTATTATTATTATTATTATTATTATTATTATTATTATTATTAAACTTTATTTATACCCTGCCCCTTCAGGGACTCGAGGAGGCTAACATGAGGCCAAGCCCAATGAATACAGTAAACAATGAATACAGTAAACATACAGCAAATAATAATAAAAATTGAAATAAAATAAAAATTAAAATTAAGTACAGCAATAAAAACAATAACATACAAACAGTAAAATCAAATTAATACAGTGGGATATAGCACTGGGTATGAAGTAAATAAAAATTAGGGTCAAGGAATTAATCAAAATGGGCTGGGCCAGGCCCGTAGCCAGGATTTTGTTTGGGGGGGGGGGGGCTGAGTCTGAGTGAAAGAGGGTCTACCCTAGCAAACCTTTTGTATCATTACCCCAATACCCCCATGCATATGGGATATATTGAGCATGGTGATCAGATCATGATATGAATAAACATAACAGTTTAAATAAAGTACCAGTAAGGCCTTCTCGCGGACCACCATGAGAATTTGGGGGGGGGCTGAAGCCCCCCAACCCCCCCCCCCCCGGCTACATGCCTGGGCTGGGCCAGATGCAAAGATAAAAACAGGGGACATAGGGTGGGATAGGATAACTTAAGCGATATATCTGGTGGAATGAATACAGAATGAAAACATCTGGGCCCTGCATGGGAAGGAGCCTGATAAAACAAAATGGTTCAGACTGGTAGACTTGGAGGCTGTACAGAGGAACTTCTGGGAGTTGAGGAGGTGGGAGTTTTGGGAGCATCGAACAGAGAACTTGCCCACGTTTTCTTCATTTGTAACTTTGCTGTATAGTATTAACCTAGCATTGCATAAATTTCCAAGAGTTTCTTGTGAGTGAATTTAATTGTTAACAAGGTTCATCGCATTGTGTATCATCATGCCCTGAGCTCATGAAGTGGCAAATTTAAAGAGGGGAGTCATATATACTCTGTGTGTGTGTGTGTAAGCTCATTGCTAGCATGCAAAAGAGAGAGAGAGAGAGAGAGAGAGAGAGAAGAAGAAGAAGAAGAAGAAGAAGAAGAAGAAGAAGAAGAAGAAGAAGAAGAAGAAGAAGAAGAAGAAGAAGCAGCAGCAGCAGCAGCAGCAGCAGCAGCAGCAGCAGCAGCAGCCGCCGCCAGTTTGGAGACCAGAACTACATAAAATGCACGTGCATCTGGTAAAATGGAAAAAAATAAGTAGGTGGACTACAAAGACTTATTTTTAAAAGTACTACTACTACCACTTCTCTACAGCAGTAGCAAGTCACAGTGAATTTTGTTGAGGATGCTAAAAAGTCCATAGAATGGGAAGGAAATCAGCTTGTTTTGGAAGTATCATTTATTCACAAAACAAAAGATAAATATTTCTATAAATATTGTGTAACATATAATTAGGGCTCAACCAAAAAGGGGGAAGGGTGGGTTTTAAAGAAAATGTCCTCATGCAAAAGCAAACGCAAACCACTGTTCTTTGTGTATATTTGCATTTGTGAAAAAGCACAAAGCTGTTCAATTATCCCATTGGGATGCAAGTATGTTCATATCTTCGATCTATTAGGAATCCAGATATCAGCAGATAAAATTTCTCTGCAATGAGCAAAGCAGATAACACATTTTCACTTTCTGAGGGCCCTTCCACACAGCCATATAACCCAGAATACAAAGGCAGATAATCCACAATATCTGCTTTGAACTGTGTTATCTGAGTTCACGCTGCCATAAAATCCAGTTCAGTGTGGATTTTATACAGCTGTGTGGCGAGGCCGCAGTTAAACAGTAACATGATATCCTCAAACCCCGCCCACTATGATATACTAGCCAAAATTCTAGTTACGTAATGTTTGAGAAGAGATCAACAAGAACAACAGCTCAAATTCAATTCCCAATCTGCTCCAGGTTACTATCCCAGCAGACTCAAATATGGCCAAGGACAGGGAACATGTTGTTGAATTCCTTGACAGGATGTTGGTGGATGGTTCCAAGCTATCCCCAGAAGAGAAACTTTGTTCTTACAAGGGAATTTTGTTTCCTATTACTATTTGCCACCCAGAAACTTTACAAGCTCTTGAAACCTTTGAAGCCAGGAAAGATGATGTGATCATGACAGGATATCCTAAATGCGGTGAGTATCCCTTTTGGTGATCCTAAGAAAAAATACTGCATGAAATATGTGTAGACGTAAAGCCAAGAATTTCTAGAACTAGAGAAATGTGCATATTTGCACATATAGCTTTTCTGCATACAAGGAGCAACAGAAATGAAGGAAGATACTTAGATGTTTTCCCAGGGATGTTTCTTCCTCTCTTGACTTGCTGCTCCCTTGAATACTGAATGATCCTCTCTCAAGGCTTCACCCTTGCTATTTTTCACCCTTCCTGTTCCAGAGTTTTATCTTAAGCATGTATTATAGACAAAGGAGACTGTCTCTTATTCTTTAGATGTGACACCCAGTGTGGCATAGTGCTGAGTGCTGGATTAGGACTCTGGAGACCATGGGTGTTTTTTTACATTGTAAAATTAACACAAGTTAACACCATTTTAACTGCCATAGCTCAATGCTATGGAAGCATGGAAGTTGTAGTTTTACAAAGTATTTAGTCTTCTCTGCCAAATAATGTTGCTGTTAGCAAACTACAACTCCCAGGATGCAATAGCTTTGAATCATTACAATAAATGGGGTTTCAAACTACATAAATGCTAAAGTGTAGATGCACCTTGGGGCTCAAATATGTACTTGGCTACAGAAACCCAATATAGACCTTATCACATTGAGCTAAAATCAGTGACATGCACCAATTTTAGCCCAGGTCACCTGCATAGCTGGCCAGCTCCCATCACATGATGTAGTGCCAGCTCCATGGGTGAAGCAGGGTGGAACCAATACATGCTGCCAGCAGAGCAACACGGAAGAGCTCCCTTGTTGCCATACAGTTTATCGGGGAAGCTACATGCACCACACATGTTCAAGCTTCCCCCCATGTGATCACCCTCCCTTGGATCTGGGCACTATAGGGCATGGGTGTTGGATTCCCCATGCCCCATGGCAAAGCAGAGTGCTGCTGGCCACTGGAGGTATGATGAGGTGGAAAGTGACTTTGGACAAGTTGCACTTTCTCAGCCTCGGGACCCATCTACACTCCTATATAAAATTCAGATTATCTAATTTAAACTAGATTATGTGGCAGTGTAGACTCATATAATCCTGTTCAAAGCAGATAATTTGGATTATATGGTAGTTAGTGGAGATCCGCTTCTGAAAATGCAAGGACAAACCTCCTTCAAAGAGCACTGATCAAGATTACCTTATGACAGGTTCACCATAAATTGTAGTTCCACTTAAAATGTACCTGTTCTGACTTCTACACAGTTCAAATGAGCTTGTGTCTAACACCTTGGAAAGCAATAGTTTCTTCCATGAGTGAGTATATCTATATCTATATAGACTCAATGTCTACCTAACAGCTGATTTCCTGCATCAATGGGGAAGTATGTGACCATTGATTGAGGCCTCTTCTAATTGTATAATTTGCCTTGGTCAGTGGTTTTCAAACTGTGGGTCCCTAGATGTTTTGGTCTTCAACTCCCAGAAATCCTAACAGCTGGTAAAGTGGTTGGAATTTCTGGGAATTGTAGGCCAAAACACCTGGGGACCCACAAGTTGAAAACCACTGGCAGACCCACTGTGTTTTAATCTTTGTTCTGTGCCTTTTAATATGTATTGTATAGAACTATGTTTTAATATGTGTATTTTATAGAATGTTTACAATCATTATGTATTTTAACTATGTTGTAACCAAGATACAAGGAGAGATGAGTAAGAAATAAAAAAATCATCATCATCATCATCATCATCATCACCACCACCACCACCACCACCACCACCCATAAAATCTGTATACTCTTTCCACTGAAGCTGGAAGAACAATGTTGCCAAATGTGTCAACCTCAAGTCATGTATAACATACATCTCTCATATTTTTCAGGTAGTCACTGGCTTGAACAGATGCTAAATAACATGAATGTTTTAGCTGCAAAATATACAGAAGAGGAAAAGAAAAAGAAAGCAGAACTTGAGAAGGAACTGGAAATTACTCCACGCTTAGAATTTGGTGATCCGAGCAAATTCAAGGTTAGAATGGTCCCCAGATGTATGTTATTAATTAATCTGCAGATACAAAGATCCAAGCAAGAGAGATTAGATAGATAGATAGATAGATAGATAGATAGATAGATAGATAGATAGATAGATAGAGGATAAAAATATTGAGATATACAGAGGCAGAAAGCGCCAACCTGGATTTTATCAGGAAAAGATTGAAAATCTTTATAGAAAACCAGCAACTTTGTATGAAAAATTATTTATCCAGTAAGAGCATGCACATACACACACACACACTTCCAAATAATTCAATATAATTAATTTCTTTCTGTGAAAAAATCAAATCAATAGAGAATTAATAGAGAATGGACTCCCGTATATATTTTTTTCAAATGTTATCCTGTTCTAAACATGCTGCTTAGTTCAATTGTGTATCTGAGATTTTGAAGGGCAGAGAGGTTGGGGAAGGAAAGTGCTTCATGAAGTTTTGGGGTAAAGCCACATACTGTGCCATCAGCTTTGACTGTTTACAGACAATGTATCTGGATTCCAAAGATCATTATTAAATTGTAGATGGCATGTGCAAAAGTCAGTTAAAGCCACTAGATGGTGATGTTGCTTGTGGTTTAGCTGTTTTTCTTTAGCTTTGCTATTCAATCTCAACTGCCAACATGGTTAAAAACACAGTAAAAGCTACATCAGAACAAGCCAAAAGATCTGAGTCCAACATTCTGTTCCAACAGCCATTAAATAATGCTAAAGGAAAGTACACAACCAAAACATGAGGGAAAGAAATCCTTCCACACATGTGTCTCGACAACTGTTACTGATAGATCTTGGAAGTAGGATAAAGCTGGCATGATCAATAGCTATGGATAGTTGCAGCTGTTTTGCAATAGTGATTATAATTATATTATTCATTTTAAGAAATGACCTAATTTGTAAAAATGAATGACTTCATGAACAGAGAAATTCTCACATTCTCTTGAAGAAGATTTGAAGATTTGTAATTTCACCAAAGTGGGTAGTTTTTTGTTTTTATTGATTTATTTATTATTTTGTTTTGTTTTTATTTTTGTTGTGTCAGGAGCAACTTGAGAAACTGCAAGTCGCTTCTGGTGTGAGAGAATTGGTCATCTGCAAGGACGTTGCCCAGGGGATGCCCAGATGATTTGATGTTTTTATCATCCTTGTGGGAGGCTTCTCTCATGTCCCCACATGAGGAGCTGGAGCTGATAGAGGGAGCTCATCAGTCTCTCCCCGAATTTGAACCTGCGACCTGTCAGTCTTCAGTCCTGCCGGCACAGGGGTTTAACCCACTGCGCCACCGAGGGCTCCATAGTGGGTAGTTAATATACAGTTAGTGATATACATTTGTGGGTTTAACTTTTGTGGTTTTGACTCTGTGGATTTGATTAATGTATTGTCTGTAGGAATCTCTAGGTTCTCCAGGGTGATTATATGGTTAGCTTCCTTTCAGCAGATCCTAGAGATTACTAGAGAGGACACATCTCTAGAAGTCTCTAGGCCACCCAGGGTGTTTTAAAAGGCAATGTTTGATTAAAGTTCAGAGTAGAGTTGCCCCCCTGGAGAACCAAAAAATTCCTAGAGTGGCATTCTGCTGCATAAAGATATTATTATTTCTTCAGTTCTAAGATACACTTATTTCAGATATAAACATATCTAAAAATGGCCAATCTAGCCCCGGTCACCTGCAAAGCTGGCCAGCTCCATTCACATGACATCATGCTGGCTTCGTGGGTGCAGAGGGGCAGAATTGGCATGCTGCGCTGCCCAGGAAACATGGGAGGCTTTCAGTGTTGCCAAATCTAAGGGGGGAAGCCACATGTACCACACACACTCTATGTTTCCCCCCAGGTGATTGCCCTCCTGGTGGGTGAGGGGAGGTGAGGCAAGGAGTGGCGTGGGTTGCCAGATTCCCAGTGCCTTATGGTGAAGAGGAGAGCTACCACCAGCCGCCACCGGATGCATGAAGAGGTTCTTAGAATCACAGATGTAACATGTATTTTTGTTGGTGGTGGTGGTACTGAAATTAGGATGCATCTTACAATCAGTAGTGTCTTACAGTTGAAGAAATGTGGTAGTGCTTCTTGATTCAGATTTACCCCCACTTTGGTCCTCTGCCCCTAACTTACAAAAAAGTGCTTACTACACATCAACTTCTTCTTCTGTGCATAGCTCTATTGTCAGATAGACAATTATTACCTATTTTTCTATTTACTAGTTTCTTGATCAAGTACTGGAATTGTGATGGGCAGATATTATCTTACTTTATTTACTTAGATGATCCCTCATTGTCCAAGGACGATGGTCCTCCAAGTGTAGTGTCTTGGTGGTGGGTCCATAGGTGGCTGCGGAGAAGACCTATTCTTGATCTGCATGTTCGTCCACAGTGAGGACATTGGTTTCCAGGTGGAAGGTGGTCCTGGTCAGGGTTGGATAGATGTGCCTTCCTCTTGGCATGTTTCTCCCTTTCACTCTCCATTCATGCCTCTTCTAATTCCACAGCACAGCTGATCACCGCTAACCTGTAGTTAGAGCACTCAAGAACCAGGGATTCCCAGTTCTCAGTGTCTATGCCACAGTTTTTAAGACTGGATTTAAACTCTTCTTCAAATCTCTTTTCCTGACCACTCATATTATATTTCCCATTCTTGAATTGGGAGTATAATAACTGCTTTAGGAGGTGGTGATCAGGCATTCAGACAACGTGGCCGGTCCAGCAGAGTTGATGGTGTAGCAGCATCACTTCAATGCTGGTGGTCTTTGCTTCTTCCAGCATGCTGACGTTTGTCCACCTGTCTTCCCAAGAAATTTGCATGATTTTTCGGAGGCAACGCTGATGGAATTGTTCCAGAAATTGAGTGTGACGTCTGTAGGCAGTCCATGTTTTGCAGGCGTATAGAAGGGTTGGGAGGACAATAGTTTTATAAACAAGCACCCTGGTATCTCTATAGATGTCCTGATCCTCAAACACTCTCTGCTTCATTTGGAAAAATGCTGCATTCACAGAGCTCAGGTGGTGTTGTATTTCAGTGTCAATGTTGACTTTTGTGGAGAGGTGGCTGCCAAGGTAGTGGAAATGGTCAACATTTTCTAATGATACACCATTAAGCTGTATTTCTGGCATTGGAGAGGAATTGGTTGGTGACTACTGGAAGAGAACTTTGGTTTTCTCAGTGTTCAATGAGAAGCTGAGTTTCTTGTGTGCTTCTACAAAGGTGTTTAGAGTGGTTTGTAGGTCTTCTTCTGAATGGGCACAGACTCCAGAATACTGGAGTTCTATAAAAGATGTTATTAAATATGGCAGCAGATATTCCCATGCTGTGAAAAGCTTCCCTTGTTACCACTGAATGTATTAAGTTGCTATTATTCCTCAAAAGAGAGTAAGTCATCAACTGGGCTGGTCATCTTATAACATAGTATTTTAAAAAACAAAACAGTTAAATTGAATTAGTTTATCCATAGCCCAGTAGGTAATTGCACTTAATATAGGATGGTAAGATGGTTGTCTAATTTTCTGCATAGAGATAGTAGGTGTGCATGTGTCAGTGTACGTATATGGTGTCCTTTAACAACTGAAGTTAATAATTCAATTAATATATAAAGAAGTTTCACATTTCTGCACACCATCTGCGAAAACACTTCAGTTTCATGTGGTTTTAATATAAAGACATTCAAATGATAAATGTGTATTAACCTGAATTTTTAAACTTTTTTTAATCTTTTTAAAGAGAATGGAAAATCTGCCTTCAAGAAGGGTTATAATCACTCACCTTGATCCCAATATACTGCCCAAATCTGCTTTCAAAAATAAAGCCAAGGTGAGTGCATTTGTTTTATCTATTTCTTATGATATGGACACGTCTTGCTTTAATTTAGAATGCTGTTCTGTGTAATTTATATTACAAATTTTTAAAAATAAATAATTAACATGACAAAATGTTGCTGTTTTAGCAGTATATTTATAATTTGTATATATTAATGTATTTTCATATAAATGTATATATTGCAGATTGAGTATCCCTTATCTGAAATGCTAGGCACCAAAAGAGTTTTAGATTTTGTGTTTATTTAAAAAATGAAATAGTTTTATTTGAAAATTGACATAATGAGATCACTTGGAGATGGAACCCAAATATAAACACACAATTCATCTATACCCTCCACAGTTAACCTGAAAGGTCATTTTAAGCAGAATATTTGTAATACTGTTGTGTTTGCATGAACCAAAATTTGTGTACACTGAACCAACAGAAAGCAAAAGGTATCATGATCTCAGCCATGCATGTGGATTATTTTGATTTTGGAATATTCGAATTTCAGAATTCCAGATAGCAGATGCTCAGACTGTTGCTTACTTTAATGTATATGGTCACCTCATATGTACTGTGTGCTGATATCTCTCCCTTTCCTATCTAGCTATCTGCCTCTCTGTTGTGTTGAACTCTAAATGTACAATATTATTGTATGATTTCTTTGCATGATTTTTTTTTAGATACTGGTTCTGATTCGAAATCCAAAGGACACATTGGTGTCCTTTTTTCATTTTAACAACAAGATGCCCATCTTTCCTACAAAAACATGGGATGAATTTTTCACTGATTTTATGAATGGGAAAGGTATCATTTATATATTTCATATTTTCTTATAAGTATTGTTAAATCAGCTCAGTCTTTTAATTAGACACTTAAGCCATTTATCTCTTTTCACAAATGCTGGCAGGTTTCTACCATCATGAAGGTTAAGAGAAGGCAGCCGTCCTGCATCCTGGGCTGCCCTGGCCTTGGTAGCATGGTGTGGCTGTTGGAATACCCACCTTTGTTCCTCCTAGGAATTGGCTTTGAATTTCTGCACTGCTTTTTTGTGTGTTAGGAGCGACTTGAGAAACTGCAAGTTTCTTCTGGTGTGAGAGAATTGGCCATCTACAAGAACATTGCCCAGGGGACGACCAGATGTTTTGATGTTTTACCATCCTTGTGATAGGCTTCTCTCATGTCCACACATGGGAAGCTGGAGCTGACATAAGAAAACCTGAATCCCGGTGCAGAATTAAAGCTTTCCCCTGTGTTTTTTTAATCCATGGTGTAGCTGGGTTAAGCATCTCTCCCCGGGTTAAACCAGATCAGCCTGCATGCATTTTATAGCCGTTCGCAGGCTGAACCACACTTACACCAAACTAAATGCCAGGTTTTAGAGTGATGGTATCATACTGTTCAAGTGAGTTTTTTTCTTCTTTAGTGAGCTGGGGATCCTACTTTGAATTTGTCAAAGAATGGGACAAGTATATTGATGATGAAAATATCACATCCGTAATTTATGAAGAGCTAAAAGAGGTAAGGGTAGCATTGATTCCAAGGTATGATTGTCTAATGAGATTTCTTTCTGAACTACCACAGAAATAATAAATGTACAAAGTTGTTTTAAAAACTCAATTTTATATGTAAAGAATAGTAAAGGTAAAGGTTTCCTCTGACATTACGTCTAGTCGTGTCCAACTGGTGCTCATCTCCATTTCTAAACCAAAGAACCAGCATTGTCCATAGAAACCTCCAAGGTCATGTGGCCAGAATGACTGCATGGAGTGCCATTACTTTCCCATAGAAGCGGTTCCTATTGATCTAATTACATTTACATTTTTTGAACTGCTAGGCTGGCCAAGTCTTAGGCTAACAGCAGGAGCTCATCCCACTCCCCAGATTCGAACTGCCAACCCTTTGGTTAGCAAGTTCAGCAGCTCAGTGGTTGAAACCGTTGTGCCACCAAGTGGCCCTAAATAACACAAACCCATAATTCTGTGCCTATCTCTTTGCATCAGGGGCAAAGATGAAAAAGGTTTAGAATTTGGATGTACAAAAAAAAAATGACACAAAGAATTGTATTTGTTAAATACTGTATTTCTTCAATTATAAAACACACTCTCCCCCAGCCCCCATCCCCATATAAGGATCTCTAAAAATGAAGTGTGACTTAGAATCACAGGTGCACTGTATGTATTTTTGTTGTTGGTGGTGCCACTGAAATTTGGATGCATCTTACAATCAGTGGTGTCTTACAATTGAATAAATATGATACTATTCTTAATTGTCTTATTCTAGACAAATATTTGATTTTTAAAAATAACACAGCTCAACTGTTGTGTAAATTTGTGACTTGCTCTGGCAGTGGGATCAAACATGGGGTATTTTGAAATATGGCATGGCCAAGACTGGAAAATTATAAGAATAATTCATTTGCATCTACTGACGGTCTTTTAGAGGCCCTGAACCCCAGGAAACAATTTTAAGGCTTCAAAAAGTGAAAACAAATTGTACAAACCATCACTTATAGTGCCCCCAACACTCAATAGCAAAATTATGAAAATCCTATTTAATAGTAGTTGCACTCAGAGGGGAAAGGCAGGTGGGTGGGTTTTCTCCTGAGCAGAGGCAGCCCTAGGTAATTTTCAACGGTAAGCAAACAGTATTTTGATGCCCCCCCCCAACCAATCATTGATATATATTTTCTGTTTGTCGTGAGAGTTCTGTGTGCCATATTTGGTTCAATTCCATCATTGGTGGAGTTCAGAATGCTCTTTGATTGTAGGTGAACTATACATCCCAGTAACTACACTTGCCGCACTTACTCCCTTGCCTGGCCTGCTTTGGGTCCGGAGGCGTGCCTGAAGATCCCGGCGTGTGCACCAAAAGTCACCTCTTCTCCTGACTTTCTCCTCAGCCATTGGGACCAAGAGAGAGAGAGAGAGAGAGAGGTGGAGATGCCCACCTTTCCTGAAGGTAGGCGCAAAAACAAAGGAGGGAGCGGAGGTGGGAGATACCTCCAGCCGGAGGGGCTTTCTCTCTCTCTCTCTCTCTCTCGGTCCCAATGGCTGAAGAGAAAGTCAGGAGAAGAGGCGACTTTTGGTGCGCACGCTGGGGTCTTCAGATACGCCTCCGGACCCGAAGGGCCAGGCGCGGTGGCTCCGCCCCTTGGCCCACCCACAGATTGTGGAGAGCAGAGGAGGCGGGTGGAGCCAAAGTGGGCCAGGCGCGGTGGCTCCGCCCCTTGGCCCACCCACAGATTGTGGAGAGCAGAGGAGGCGGGTGGAGCGCCAGGGGATCGGGAAAGGGAGCCGGTCATGGGGAAGGGATTGAACGCAGAGAACGATTGAGCGCCGGCTCTGCTCGCGCACCCGGTGGCCAGGTGGAGCAGGAATGAGAGGGGCTAGGCGAGGCTCAAGAGGATCGGCTGGCAGCGAGGCAAGAAAGCCGAGGCTCCCCCCGGACTGCTAGGGCTGTTGTGAGCTGAGGGGGCACTCCTCAAGTGGCGGTCGAGGGACATTTACAGAGGCGCCTCTGCGCCCCTGGCAAAAAAAAGTGTTCTGCGACCGCTTACTTCACGTAATGGACGAGCCGCCCCTGCTCCTGAGATATGGAGGCTTGGTTTGCTGCATGGCCACCCTCCATAACTAGCTACAAGGGCGCAGGCACATGGGCAGGTGAAGCCTCACTCGCCTGCATGCCTGCACCCTTGCAATAATAGTCACACTCATGAACTAAGGGCATGACTATTTTGTAAAGAATAGGTATTTTATTGTTTTTGCCATCTCAAAAACGTGAGTGTGACTATTATGTGACGTCGACTAATATGTGACGAAATACGGTATCTTGGATACTCTAGTTGTGATTTTTCTGTCTTCATTTGCAGTGTACACTTTAACAGAAGTGTTTTGGGGTCATATACATGCACTTAATATGTGATTTATTAATTTCTCTTTTTACAAATAAAGAATCCAAACTTGGAAGTGAAAAGAATAGCTACATTTCTTGGGTTTTCCCTGTCTGAAAAAGAGATTCAAAGCATTGTAGAAAAGAGCAGCTTCAAAACTATGAAACAAAGTGGACAGGAAACCCTTGGAGCATTTGGAGATCTTCTTTTCCGCAAAGGTGATTTTTTAGAGTGCATGGGGTGGAAATGATGGCAGTAAAGTGGAAGTTACTGTTTTATTTCTCCACTTCTCAGACTGTTTTTGGTGTCTAAGATTGTCTAATGCTAGAGATGCTCAACAGCAAGGATTATATTTCATACACATCTGTTGTTTTATGACCCTCAGATTCTCTTCCTAGACCTTGAATTACTACTTAGAACAAACAAACATGGGAAAACTGCATTTGCATATAGTTAACAATTTGACTGTGAATAATGGTCATTTTATTTTTGTTTAAATCTGAATGGTTTGGGATCACTGTTTTAATTTTTCATAATTCCTTTCCAATATCCTTCATTAATAAGGCTTACTGAATCACCACTCACAGGTATCATAGGATGATACTCAACACTTACATAGGAGTATGGCAACCAGGAAGGATTTGACCAAGATATTGTCAAACCAAGAGTTAAACCTGTTTCTACTGCCCATCTTTCCTTTTCAGCAAGAAATAATCGGGATTACTTTAGAGTCAGAAATATTACAATAGCTTCCCAAACGTCTTTTGGAAATAGTTTCATAAACAAAGACTATAAAACAAAGTTTGTTTAATGATTATAAACATCATATCACTATTTTCAAAATTATTTATTAATTTTATTAATGTTTATTTAAGGAAATAAACATACCATCATACAAACAAAAACATAATACAAAGAAAATAAAAAATAAAAAATGCATCAAATATAAAAAACCCATTTTAATTAATATAAAACACTAGCCTACAACAACTAACAGAACTACTAAACCAAACCAATACACAAAACATACATACAAAAGCAAAGCTAACAACCTTCAATTCTCTGTCTGATGTTTTAAAGTTCTGACTAGTCTACCTCCTTTAAGAAATATTATATAATCAAATTTCTATATATAGTAACATATTAGTAGCTCATAAATTCCACAATTAGTCCTCTTTGAGGTGTAAATATATCTTTATTATAATATAACTCATAACTGAAAAGGATTATACACAAAGCCATCACAAGGCACATCTCTAAATGTAGGCAAAAAATAAAACACTGATATTCGTACACAAATTCCCAAGTATATTCATGTTCAAGTAGCCAGATGAAACCATGTTTGCTATTACTTCAGTTAGAATCTGTAAAGCTTTTACAAGCTTTTAAAATTATTTATTAATTTGTGTTAAATTTGTATGAGTTATTTTTGAATTATCACAATTACCTAGAATAGAACTTATTTGTTCCCATATCAATTCTATATGCAAAGGTATCTGGAAATGCAGATGTTTTGTTGTGAATAATTCATCTTTTTAATGGCAGCTCTCAATTTTAATGGTTGTGCATTCATAGCTGCTGTAAGTTGTACATGAACTATCTAGAGAGGAACTCTATTTTTAATATAGGTTTGGCACCTGGAGAGCTCCTGTAAACATTGGACAGTTGTGGAGGTGTTGAGAACTGCCATTAAAACTGAGGGACTTTCTGCACTGATCAACATGTGACATAAACTGGCATTAGAAATTCTGGTTTGTATCGTATTTAGAGATCACATGACTGGGTGGGAGGAGAAGACCCCACCTCATTGACAGGGGTTGGCCATACACCCACCCGTGCAGATGAGCTTGTGGCATCAGTGGGCATGAGCAATGCCACTATACATTCCCCACCCTGTTTCTCACCCAAAATGGCAGAAACAGACTTCTAAGCAATGCACAAGGCTTAGCTCTGTGGCGCTCAGAAATGACAGCACAGGGTTTGGTGAGGGAAAAGGTCTAAAGTTTCATGGTGTCATTTCTGAATGTCATGGAGCTAAGACAACCCTTATGCAGTGCCAAGGAGGCTGTTTGTGCCTTCTGGTCTGTGAAATGAGCTACAAGGAGGGGAAGGTGACACCTTCTTGGGCTGCCTGAGCCGAGGGAGCACAACATGACTGTGGGACCACCTCCTGGGATTGTGGGTGGTGATCCCAGGGGACAGTCCCCACAGTCCCCATACCTTGTAGGTATTTTTAACACAGAATAAACCTGGATTAACACATTTATACTGGGGTAAATCACATTAACCTGGTGCATCATTTGGATGCCCCAGGCTAATGCACCCTCTATACTGCGTTATCAGTGTAGAAAGACCCACAGAGTGGATTCACTGTACTGCTATAATAGTGCTACCAACCACTTCTGCTTATTTGGTGAGCAAATTAAGAAAAAAAAGACTGCTCTCTGTTTCAAAAAGGAGGAGGAGTGCAGGAAGGACTAGAGAGGTTTCCTTTGGCCTACATAGTCCTCAATAAAACTGAAAAGGCAGAGACCTCAGTATTATAGTACTTTTTGATATATCTTACCACTCCTTATAACTGTTGTTTAAATGCTTACAGGATCTGTTGGTGACTGGAAAACTTTGTTCTCAGAATCCCAGAACCAAGAAATGGATAGAAAATTTGAAGAGCATTTAGCTGGTACTAAATTGGGAGCTCGGATAAAGTATGACATGTACTGCAAAACCTGAGGAGACAGCTTTCACCTCTGTTACACTGAAGACTTTCCTCTGTGCTGAATTGTTTCTTGAACTGTTTGTTATGTTGGCTTTTATGTACTTTCTTATTCAGGCTGTTGATACTGCTTCCCGAGTAATAATTCATGGCACACGAATACAATTATCTAATGATACTTGAGAGCATGATCTGAATAAACCTATTAACAGACACTGCTTCATGATTTGGCGGAATAAGCCACCATAAAATGAGTTTTGATGCAATTAAGAGATAATGGAATAAAGCTAGTTTATAAATGACATTTTATCCCAAATATATCACCATACATTATATAGGTTTGACTAAGGCAGTTCTGTGACATATTTGCTGTGATCCATATTTATATTCACTTAGTTGAATGTCCAGAAGTAAACTGTGGGCCAATTGGTTGATGTAATGCTGAACTCTTTGATAGTTTTCCTAAATTTCTTCTCAGAAGCCAGGTCTCACATAATAAGCTGTGAGCCAGTAACTTTCATTTTTCTTGCCATAGGACTGGAAATGGATTATTAGGTTGGGAAAGTAGCTTTGGGGCAACTTTGCCACTTTCATTCTGTTGTGGTTCAGCCAGAGGTTGAAGATGAGATTGTTCAGTCAAAGGTTGTCAGGAATGATGGGCTTTCCAGTGTGGGAAATGAGGGGATTTTTGATCATGATTCAGTCTGGGAGGATAGGTCTGTGTCTAGTCAGTTAGAAATGGCTTCAGGGCAGGGAGAAGATGGAGAGGCTTTGGCATCGAAAGACAGGAAAGACCTTTCCCCTAGTTGTTCCTTGGCAACAGAAGATAAGAAGCTGGAAGAGAAAGATCTTTTCCCCTGGGAAAAGATCTGAGATTACTAGGAGTCGATCTCTGAGAGGAGTGAGTCAGATTACGGAGGTAACAGAGACTCCGTGAGAAATCCTTGAAACAGACCAGATGTCAAAGACATGACTTCATGGCTTTTGGAACTTAAATTAAAGTGTTGTCTACTGAAAGGGTTAGAGCAGGCAACACTACATTACCGTGTACGCCTTGGGTCTTGGGCTTGTTTCACATTCAAGTTATATTTATATTTTTAATGTACTAAACATACCAAGTTTGTATGAAAATGTGACTATTTCCTGTGCTGGTCAATGACCAAAATAAATGATTTGATTTGAAGTCTATATTTAAGATCTTGCAGAAAGTCTTGTGCTCATGTTCATGGATTCATGTCTTGAAAGACGTTCCTGTGTTCCTGGTTATGGGATTTATGCCTATGTTTTGATTCTTGGTTGTTTCATGTACCTTGTCACAGAACATGGTTGTATGGACTATTGCCTTTTAAAAGCCTTTTTTCCCTATTGCTTACTGGACATTGCTTTTTATATTGCCTTTTTGCCTTTTTGCCTTTTTTTAAATATTTGCTCTCTCTTCAATAAACTTTTTAGTTAGTACTACTGGACTCTTGTGTGGTGCTGGGTGCAAAGGCGAATCCAGGTCAGAGTGCAACACATTCTTCAATATGTTCCCTATCCTCGACATTTGTTTATCTTGTTTTGGGGAAAAAAATTACATTCCTCATGTCTTGTGGAGTGGGTGAAAATTTTGCATTTTTCAACCAGGAAGTTAAGTTAGTTTTCTTCCAAGGCAAAAAAGGACATATTGTAGACCATGAGAAGGCGGTAGATGGAAAATGCCCCATAGAAGCCCCAGGGAACATTTTTATTGGTGAATTTACAAACCAAACTTGAAGGTGCCCTGGGATCTTTAGACAGTGCCATAGTCCTTACAGGTTACACTGCCCAAACAGTGCTAAAAAGTATCTAGAGAATCTAGATACTTTTTAGCACCATCTAGAGAATTCGTAAGATAATGTGATCTAGAATGGTCTAAAATAATTACTCAATAGACACCAAAATTTGGTTTTGGGGTTTCATTTCCTAAGAACCCCAGCCAGATTGACCAAGACATGCTCAGGCTCTTTAGCATCATTTATTTTTTTACTCTAGTGCTATTTTGAGTCTAAATTCATCCTTTTTTTTCAAGAAAGAAAGAAAGAAAGAAAGAAAGAAAGAAAGAAAGAAAGAAAGAAAGAAAGAAATTTTATGGGGTTTCTCCATAAATCTCAGGCTAAATTGTGTCTAATCACTCTGACTGTAATTTAGCATAGTTTGGCACAGTTTGGTGCAGAAAGAAATGTTCCAGGTTGCCAGCTGCCTATGGTACTACAATTGACTAATAGGCTGATAGAAAGAAAATGTGGCCTTCTGGCATGAAAAGCAGCATGTATACATTGGCTGGTATAAATGTGTCATAACTATCTGTGTTCTTTATAGGAGCTGTAGACAGAGAAGGGGAAATTCCCCGGTCATAAGCCACTCCTTTCTTCTAATTTTATTGTGGGGTGTTTTTGGAGGTGGGAGTGGAAATGGACCTCCCAAGCAAGGATACTTTGTTATAAAACAAACCACCCACACAGAATATTTTTGGCAAATGTTTCAGAAATCAACATATTTAAGCAGCTGCTTTTTGTTTCACATGCCTTGCCATCCAGGGCTTTGGCATGCAAACTGGTTGTAGGATGCATCTCATTTATTCAACCTAGACTTTGTTGCTGATGGGAAAGAGTAAAACATTCTGTACTTTTTCTTGCCATCTCTCAAACTCATCTGAGTGCAGTTTTACCATACTGTGGTTTTAGAAAACATACTTTTTAGTAGTGGAAAAGTTACTTTTGGGGACTGCAATTCCTCGAAGCTGTAGCTCGGTGGTTCTCAACCTATGAGTCCCCAGATATTTTGGCCTTCAACTCCTAGAAATCCTAACAGCTGGTAAACTGGCTGGGATTTCTGGAAGTTGTAGGCCAAAACACCTGGGAACCCACAGACTGAGAACCACTGCTGTAGCTGAATTTCCCACTCAGAATGGTTCCCCTGATTAGTAGCTGCCTCAGGTTTTCATACTTAGTTCTCAACATGAGGCAACACAGCTCATTGGAAAAGGTGATAATGCTCTGTAAAGTGGGAAGGTGGCAAGACAATGTGAAAACCACATTTCAGTTGGATTGAATGTGACAAAGAATCCATGGCACTGAGTTTGCAAAACTGAACTGGGCTGTTTACAAAATAGTCTTTTTGATATTTCCATTGATCGGGCCATCTAAATTTGACTCCCTGTAGGAATGGTGTTTATTAATTAGTAACCAGTACTTGGAGTTATTTGGACAAGCAGTACTACAGTATATCTGAAATTTCCCAGTATATCTGAAATTTCCCAGATATATAGCCTGGGAAATATAGTCCAATAAAATCATTTTTCTGAGTTTTTTCTGGTAAATGGAAGTTTGGAAAAGTGACAGTGAGGAGAAGGCCAAAATCAAAAATGAGTTATGGAGAAACCCTACCATTTGAGGGGAGTGTCAGCAAGATGCTGGAAAGCAGAGAGCATTATGTGTATCAGGTGACTTGCCCCGTATCCAGCAAGGTAAATCTCTGCTTCCAGACATGGTAGAATATGTTGACCAATTTTTACTAAAAAAAAGAAGCAAAATTCACTTGCTAGTTACATTTGCCTCAAGCAACACACTGGCATGGGTGAACACTGGATGGTGGAGAAAGAAAGAAACATCAGCTAAATTAGGCATATCTTTTCAAAACGTCACTGGTATATGTCTTTTTTCTGCTCCATAGCTGCCAGCCCTTCACTTTTTAAACTCTATGATTTATTGCAGCCATGGTGGATGGAAGATTCTTGGAATTCCAATCTGTGATTTATGAACAGGTGCTGGTTTGAAGAAGAAATAATAAACAGTTAAGGGAAAGCTCATCTCTCTACATGCCATTTCTCCCTGTCTATTCTTTCCATTACAAGAAATGTGGCAATCAAAGGTAAATGTGCTAGAATTCTTATTTTGGGGGCAGTGCCTTCATATTACACCACCACCCTTGCAGCTACATATTTGCAGTAGAGAGGCTATTAAGGTGCTATCTCTCAGGCCTGCGTAGAAGTTTTTAAATACAAAATCTTTAGAGCATCCTTCAGTAGAATTCACCAATATCAAATGCTAACAAATCACTGCCTTCTAATAAAAGAAACAGAGAGTATATCAAGGATGGAGCAGTTATAGCCTTATTAATGTAGTTAGAGTACAGTGACTATCAGCCCTGGTCAACACAGCAATTGATGGAGAATGTTTGGAGTTAAAGCCACAGCAACCTACTACTGAAACACACAAATGCCGAGGTAGGCTTTTCTGGGCTTTTCTGTAGGTATATGTTTGGAGAAGAATGGTGTGTATGAATAAATAAATGAATATATAAATGGTGCATGCATAAATCCTCTTTCCGATCTAACAGGTTGATCTATATTGTTATTGTTGTGAGCCTTCACGCTAAAATGAGCCTATCATGGGGTTTTCTTGGCAAGATTTGTTCAGAGGAAGTTTACCTTCGCCTTCGCCTGAGTCCGAACTGACTGTCCTAAATCCCAGGATCTGATCCCAATTTTTTATCCCAGATTATCTGGCAGTGTAAACTCATCTAATCCACTCCAAAGAAGAATAATTGGAGATCTTATCCTGGGATATAGGGCAGTGTAGATCCAGCCTGTCCCCCTCTACACTGCCATATAATCCAGATTATCAAAGCAAATAATCCACATTATCTGCTTTGAACTGAATTATATATAATTCTGCCATATAATTCAGTTCAGAGCAGATAATCTGGACTTCATATGGCAGTGTAGAAGAAGGCTGAGAAAGCTATGAAAGAAAAATTGAAAGTATTTGAAGAATTTTATAAAGAACTGTACCAAACCAAAGCAAGTCCCATAGAGGCAATTAGGAAATATGTGGAGGAAAATTGGGAGAGTAAGCTGGAAGAGAAAGATAAAGAATTACTGGAACAACCTATTAAGAAAAAAGAAATAGAGGAAGTTATTAAGAAATTAAAAGTTGGCAAAGCTCCGGGCTTGGATGGTCTAGGGACAGAATATTATAAAAGCTTTAGAGAAGTTTTAACCCCCAAATTATTAGAATTGTACAATGGAATAATGAAGGGAGATAAAATACCCGAATCATGGAGGAAATCATTAATAATATTAATACCTAAACCTGATAAAGACCTAACAGACCCAGGGTCATATAGGCCCATATCATTAATTAATCAGGATGCAAAGATATTGTCCGCGATAATAGCTAATAGAATGAATAAATGTATGTATAAGTACATAAAAGAAGATCAGTGCGGGTTTATAAAAGGAAGACAAATGTCAAACTTGATAGGGAGAGTACTAAATAAAATTCATTGGGCTAAAGAGGGGAAAGAAAAAGCAGGGATATTATCATTAGACATTTTTAAAGCGTTTGATTGTGTGGAATGGGAGACATTAAGGGAAATATTGAATAAATTCGGAATGGGAAATAGAATAAAAGGAGTATTAAAACAATTTTATTCAAGGAACTCGGCAGTGGTAACTATAAATGATGGAGTGACAAACGAAATAAAAGTGACTAGAGGAACTAGACAAGGGTGCCCTTTGTCCCCGATACTATTTGCCATGGTGATAGAACTGTTTGCTAATAACATAAGGAATGACAAAAATCTAGAAAGGAACAGACTAAATAAACAATTATGGTATAGATCGCAAAAGGAGGGTGGACTGGCGTTACCTAATATAAAAAAATATTACGAAGCAAGTAGATTAAGTTTGGTTATAGAAGGAATGGTCAAAGAAGAGGGAATAGATTGGCTTAGTAATGATTCAGGAAAAGTGGAAGATGAAACTTGGAATATATTTTTTAAACAGTTACTAGAAAAGAAATGAGGGAAATTAGAAACCCAATGCTGAGCAATATACTTAAAGTATGGAATAAATATAAGGGGAGGTTAATAAAGGAGGGATCAATTATAACCCCAATAGTGATGGAAAAGAAGTTCCCAAAAAATTTAAAAAAAGCAATGGATAAAAAGGTAAGGGAAATAAATTTAGATAGGATAGGGGATTGGATGAAGGTGGAAATGAAGAGGGAAAGGATGTTGGAAGAGTTTAAAGAAATAAAATTGTCATGGTTTCATTGTATACAATTAGAACAATGGGTAATAAATTGGAAAAAAAATAATAGAAGTGAAAGCCAACTCAGTCAATTCGAACAAATAATACAGAAGGGAAGGACTGTAGAAGAACACGAAAACTTGAGAGGTATAATTAGCAAAATTTATAAGATATTAATTGAAATGAAAGATGAAAAAACAAAAAAGTGCACCCTTAAAGAGATTTGGGAAGAAGATTTAGGGATAAAAATAAGCGAAATAGAGTGGCAACAATTATGGGGACAAAGACATTTAAAAAATTTATCGATACGAGTTAAAGAAAATTATTACAAGTTAATATGGAAGTGGTACTTGACACCGGTAAGAATAGCATATATGAATAAAAATAACTCAATAAATTGTTG